GGCAGGGAGATGGACACTGCCAGGCCGCGCCCCATCTCTGCGATTCCCAGAGGGCTGAGCCCCCAGCCCCCTCCCCTTACCCCAGACGAGGGCGGGCGCGGGCAGGCTGCTGTGCTCCACCCGGCAGGCGTAGCGGGGCCCGTCCGGCCGCGGGCCGATCTCCAGGGACGACTGGGTGTGGTAGGTGCCGTCGGCGAGGGGCAGGATCCCGCTGGAGCTCGTCTCTGCCAGGACGTCGCCTCCGTCCCGCACCCAGGAGAGGTGGATGGGACGCGGGTGGAAGCCGCTGGCGCGGCAGGAGAGGGTGACGGGGCCGTGGGGGGCGGCTCTGCGGGACACCGAGACCTCGGGGGGCACTGGGGAGAGAGACATGGCTTAACTGCAGTGTAAGAATGAATGTGGAACAGCTGTAACTCTGGCAGCACCTCCGAGACTGACCGAGCATGGAGATGGGTCCCTGCGCTTTCGTGGGCACCACCCAGCTCATGACCCCATCGCAGGCCGTGTTGCTCTGTAAGGTGCTGCAGGTTTTTAAGTGTTTCCAGTTACAGACTCACTCAGCTCCCCTTCTGAAGCTTTTGAATCGTAACCCGAGTCCCTGCCCCGTCCCTGCTCTGCCACTGGCTGCGGGGCTGCCAGCTCTGGGCACAAGAAACTCCAAATGGGTTTTTCCTTTGTCTCACGACAATGTGTGCACCCCTTCTTCCCCACATCCTACCTTCTTCTCCCTCCCAAACTGCAGTGCCTTTTGCAGCTGCAATGTGCCAACACAATCAACTCACAACCCAGAGCTGGGGGGTCTCAGTCCAGTGGGGGAAACTCAGGCAGCTGGGAGCCCAGAGGAAAGACCCTGTGGAGCGGGGACACCAGGGGACCAGCACTGGCTAACGACCCATCTGCTCTAATAACAACCCACAGCTCCTGTCTGGCCCCTCCCATCGCTCGATCTCAAATCACTTCACAAAGGAGGTTGGTGTGGAAGCCATTGCTTTGCTGATAGGGAAACTGAGGCACTAGGAGGCAAATGAGTGACCGGCACAAAATTACTTAGCAGGCCACATTTGGGGCCAGAATCCAGAAACCCAGCCCCTGGTACCATCTGCCAGGCCACACAGTGCTTGAGGGAACAGCTGTCTCCCTTTGTAGTCACCGCATCCCACCCCGGCCTCCACCACGACAGATCCCCGCGGCTCACTCACCCTGCCGCTCCA